TGTATATGTGTGTGTGTGTGTCTGTAATTGTAGAATCATTTTACCGGCTGCTAATGGATGGCCACCGTCTCAGCATTGGCTCTAAACAGAAGGTCTTGGGGTTCGAGTTTCGAGGGATGAGGTCCTAGCTGATAGCTAGGTGATATTCAGCCTCTGTCTATAGAAGAATTTTAGCAGTTGGATACTTTCATCGGTACTTTTTCATATTATCTCCTATCATACCTACCATCTATAATATCAGACGAATACTGGAACAGTACCCTAACAAACAAGCCACGGACGGACCGCGCGTGATATTTCGTTACCTCTCTTTGTCGTATCTTTCGCCTTTACTCACACCTATAATTTCATCCACAACACTACTACACGTCAGGAGCATAGTGCTTGTCCCGGCTGGTCTTCCTCGGGCTCTCCGAACGAAAAACCATAGTAGCTCTTAGGCACATCTCGGTACCATTACATATAGGTCCGTGGTCCCGTCTCGGTGTTTGTACCATTTGTCTTGGTGTAGGGAGCCAGTTTCTTCCATTATACACACACTGATTGCAGACAGATCTGACGCACAGTTACTGGACAGAGTAAGGGATTACTGAAGCATTATGGTACTACATGAAACAAGGGAATGGAAATGCTCCCAAGCGACAAACACAACTGAAAACATTGATACTTCACGCGAGTTTCGAGCCTACAGCTTTAGGGTCCCCGTATTTGGGAGCACTTGCCCTACCTAAATCCCTGTGCCACTACGCCAGCTGTCTTTACAGTTCTGTTTGTGAACCTGCGGTAGTGCGGTAAGTAAAATTAAAATTTAATTTAAAAAAGCAACTATTGCCATATAGCAGCAAAAATGCCACTGCACAAACCCGTAGAGTAAGGTTTCCTAAAAGATAGCATGCTCACTATTCAAGGAAACCAACAAAAATACACTTATAATAAAACAAACATTTGAACAAAAACGAATACTGCAATAACAGTAAGAAGGGTACTGGCTTTGAGTCCTTTCCCAAAGTGTCCGGGTCCTAAAGGAAATTTTAGACGTCATTTATGCTCAGCCAACTTTGCTACCAGGACCTTCACATTTGCGCCATGCTCATTCGGACGCTGCAAATAAAACTAACGAGAATTTGACTGCTCTACTGGACAACACTGCTCGACAGGTGGGCGAGACAAGATATTGCGTATCGAAGATATTTCCTTGAGCAATGGCGCTAAAGCCACCGTGGCTGCAGAATCAACGTCCCCTTTTGGTGACTTAGGTCCAAAGATTCAAGTAGTCCTAGTACTGCTGCCATCATGAGCCTTCCTAAGACTCGAGCCAGCTAAATCTTTATCTGATTTCTTCTTTCCCCTCAATCGAAGTCCTAACCTTAATGCAATGGTTAGAATGGTATTGACTTCATTACTAAAATCTATATCGGTCATAGGAACCTGGGTCTGTTAATCCATGAGAGCAAAACAGCATACGATTGTGTATGTGATCACAATAGAAAGGTATGATTGTATCTGTATGAGTAGGTTTTCTGAATATTTTAAAAATGTGTTTAGAGTTTATAATAGTGATGGTTAAAATCAGAGAATGGTTCTGTTCAATTTCCATCGAGAATTTTAGCTTCGAATGAAAAAATTAAGAAACTCAAAGAACTGGCTCAATTGCCTAGAAGTTCCTGACCAAAGAAATGTAATGTTATCGACATACCTGTAAAAATAAATATGGTTTTTGATGAGAAGGGTCAAGCTACTAAATATGTTTTTCTCAAAATTATTCATAAAAAGCGAAAAGATGGAAAACGTTGGCGCCCATAGCTAATCCTGTGTGAGAATAGAATTTGTTGTTGAATGTGAAAAAATTATTAATTAAATAATGGTTATCATCCTTTGTCAGTCAATAAATTTATCCACCAAAAAGGTGTAAAAATTATTATAACTAAGGTTTTTCCTCGACATTGCCCTGTAGAACCAAAGGAATATATTTGCATTCCTTATATAGATCGTGTATCTGCTATAATTTTCAATCGAGCGTTGATAATTTTTGCAAATACTTTATAAGCGGCGTTCATGAGGCT